CACACGGCCGCTTAGGTTGCGGTTTATCGGGTGTGCTGCCATCCGACCGGTGTCGCTTTTGCGTCCCAGTCGTGGCAGCTTGCTTGGTATGTGCTGATTCCCCCGAGGGTGTATCTGGTACAGTTTTGGTTGGTCCAAACTTTTCTTTGTCCCTAACCATTTTTTTCTTCCGTCTGGCGGCTCCCGAGAGCAGCTAGGGAAAGGTTGGTCCACCCACACAGAGCTCTGCATGTGTGGGTAAGGCTGATACAATGAGGTGCGCCTGTTGCCTCAAGGTTAGTCGCTATTGGTTGGGCTTCCCCCCAGCCTTGCATCTCTTGGCGCGCACTATACCGTAAGAATTGGGAGGTGTTATAGTGACCTCATCACGCGATCCAGATAGTGAAACCAAGATCCCCGTACCCCCTGCAGCACCTATCTCGAGGCCGAAGCCACGGGAGTCGTTGCACTGCTGGCGGTTTGCGGTTTGAGCCACGAGCTGGTCTGCGGCGACGGCTTTCGATCCAGATCCGTGGGTTTTATACCACGACTTTCACTTATGGCCGTCGCTAACCGGTCAGACATATCTGACCGGCCTTCCCCCTATCCGCCACCTGGGGACGCGCCCGATGGGTAGCTCAACCTGCACGGGATAATGCAGTTTACGTTGATTACATTTAATTAATTAGACATTGATGTGTCTCATTTTTAAAGGGTAGGACACAACAACTATCATTTACTTGAAGCCGGGTTTCAAAGTTACAGTTTCTTCTGGCAGATATCTTGTAGTGCAGGCAGATGTACAGATAATATAAAGCAGAAAGTACAGACAATATCAAAGTCCTTTTCCCACGTATCAGGTGTATATAATTACTGAACATCATTATCAGAAATCATTTTTCCATAAAATCGAGTGCAGCACTTAACTGTGCTAATCTTTGAAACGAGTTACTGCTATATTTTTACTTGCGACAAGACTTTTAAAAGTAATTATCCAATAAACGGTTTGTTGAATTGCCATAGGAAAAAAATAAAGTACATTTAGTTCAGGGCATGTTTTTTTTATAAAAGCACATATTATATGCAATGTTTACTCAACATCACGTTTTTTTTTTAATATTTCACTAATGAGGCCGCCTGGCCTGCCTGTTAGAAAACCATTACGGAAATATGGTAAACTATTTTCCATTTTTACATTTATGCGTATAAATAACTATCTACATGCACTTGTTTGAAATAACTATTACCACTCATATCCATAATAATGCTTTTTTGTCATTTGTGTGCTTATTTTAATTGTTTGCGCTTATTTACGACTAAAAAAATTGCAATAAGACCAACAATTTAATGCAAACAATCCACTCAAATGCTAGGTTTAGAAAAGTATTCATAAAGATATACACATCGAATTTGATAATTTATTTTCTCTTATCTGCTCATATCTATCTCTCATGAGCTTATCCTACGGTCTAATATCACAGTCATTGCTGATCGTGATGCAGCAATGGCATCAAAATTTAGATACCTGTGCACCTATAACAGGGGTAGACGCGGAGATAAGTTTTTCTACTTATAAAAATATTCTTAGTGGTAGGCGGTAAAATTTTACAATAGAATATTTAATTGAATATTTAGTAATTTCGTGTTTGAAATAATAATAATTTCACTTATTTGTTTCCTGTTTTATTTCAAATAATTTTAGCTTTAGGCGAAAGCTGTTCAAGTTTTTGAAGTAATTAGAATAAATGTATTTAAGAAAACTTCGTTTATTTATTTTATTTCACATTTCATTACATTAAATTTAATTGGAAACAATTAAAAAATATATCTTTTTACTCCACTAAAAGAATGTTGTGCATTTTTAAGCACTATTTCGAAGATTTTAATGCTTTTTAATCCTGACTGCTTATAAGCGTAAAATATACAATATAAACCTAGCATTTCAGCTTAACGTTGTGGATGAAATTACACTGGATGCTCCATGTCAACGAATAACAATTTGTGTAATAATGAAGAACAATGAAAAGAAACTTTATTATCAGACCCGTTAAAGGTTTCTGAAATAAATAGACGAAAATTTCAAAATTCAAAAGGTTACATCAATTACATTAATATTTATTATTTAACAGGTACATACTTTCCTGACTGTGTTTCAATTCCAAATCAAAATCAATTCCTGGGCTTCAGTCATTTATTGTCTCTATTTATCAATTAAAATACGTTTCGATGTTTTCCACCATCATCAGTTTTTCTGTATAAATTTTGGTGTGACGGTAAGGTTCTTGCATCTGGTCAAAAAGTTTTTCCGGTTCTTTTCTCTTGCCAGTTTTGCCTTCAGTTTTCCATATCTCTTCCTTAAAACACACTCCTCCACACGATCCGCCATGCCATACTCCCAAGCATTATCCTTCATTGTACATACTTTCCTGACTGTGTTTCAATTCCAAATCAAACTCAATTCCTGGGCTTCAGTCATTTATTGTCTCTATTTATCAATTAAAATACTTTTCGGTGTTTTCCACCATCATCAGTTTTTCTGTTGTTGTTTTCACCAAAATTTATACAGAAAAACTGATGATGATGGAAAACACCGAAACGTATTTTAATTGATAAATAGAGACAATAAATGATTGAAGCCCAGGAATTGATTTTTATTTAACAGGTACAACCCATTCACAAGAGAATTGTGCGATAAAGTCAAAAGGTACAATCATTCTTAAAATAACGTAGTAGTAACAATTAATAGGCTGAAAGTAGAGGTACTTTGGAAAAATATTATAGAGTGTTTCCAATATTTATCAATCAGATATTTCTTGATATTGGTATGCTTATAAAGGGTTATTCAAGAAATTTCACTTATGTATCGATATGTGGAAAAGTAGAAAGGATCGGATGTCTGAACTGATCGATCGCTACTAAACTTGGGTAATCAATCATGGCATTTGTACATTTTATTATATGAATTTGGCAAAAAAATCGGAATAAAATTATTGGAATCTTTTAAACTTTTGTACAAGACTACAAGTACTTTTGCACCATTGGGTAATGTTTAGGATCTGTCAGCAATTTTATAAAACGGTTTTTGTGTCCCATCCTTTAATTGCTTTGAGCTAAATCAGGATAAACTATTCGACATATTACAGGTTATTTTACGTGGCTTGAAATATCTTGCATATCGACAATTAAATGAATTTACCTAGAAGCTAGAATCATAACGAAGTTTTACTTATTTGTTAATGGCAATATTTGAATCGTTTTTAGGAATTATCAGTGTGCAGCGAAAAGACGAAGGGTTTTAAAATGTGGAAAGAAACGCCTATTCCTATGTATTTAGAATTCCACATGTTTAATTGGACAAACGCTCATTTAGTCGCGAAAGATTCGGGAATCAAACCAGCATTTGTCGATTTGGGGCCATATGTGTTTTATGAACATCATATTAGAGACAACGTAACGTTTCATGACAACGATACCATAACTTACCTTAATAAAAGATTATGGCATTTTGAAGCTGATAAATCTAATGGAACTCTAGAGGATGTTATTACCATTCTCAATCCACTAGTTGTTGTAAGTTCATAAAAGCGCGCAAGTGACAATTTTGATTAAAATAATAGAGTTATTCACACTTTTAGATTGTAGCCAATGTGATAAAAGATGAGCATTACTTAGTAAAAAGAGCTGTTAACTTTTTTTTGGAAGAGAAAGGTGAATCGCTATTCCTTCATAAGAATGTTCGAGAGTTGTTGTTTGATGGTTACGATGATGGCTTAATAGATATTGCACTGAAGCTCAATATATCTGGTTTCAATTTACCATTCACAAAATTTGGATGGTTTGTCGATGTGAGTACAAACTTACATATAATTTATACAAGGACTTGCAGATTTTAGGAATATTAAAATAAGAACGTACTACCAATCAAGGTTTTAAAAGCACTGCTAGATTTTAATGCTGCTCAACTGTTAATCCCTCGGAAATTTCAAAATTTAAATGATCTCTTTGTTCAAACAAAACAAGTTGAAAGTTTTTATCAACTTTATGTTGTTATGTTATCAACAACTAACAAATGTATTATCTCTTTAGATATATTAGACACTTAAATTCTAAATTATTTGTTGACATAATCTTCAATTTTTTTTCTATTTATTACAATGTGTGTCGTTGTTCCTTGATTGAATTGATTTCGTTTCATTTTATTGTAATTTGCCGCGTAGATTTTACTTTCTGCTTAGCAACCCATTGCAAATTAAAAATTGTGAAAATGTAAATAGTTAAGTAAATATCATGAAAAACAAGTATGTTTCAATTCAATCGTGTGAAATTCTAGTTTTAATTTGCAAAATTAAATATCTTATTAGAGAAATGGAAGCGCTACATATGATGGTGTTTTCAATATGTACAGCGGCGGCAATGATATTCGGAAGCTTGGACTTATAACCAGATGGAATTATGAGCATGAAACTTCGTACTATCCAGGAGAATGCGCTGTGGTTAACGGTTCTTCTGGCGAGTTATGGTATGCTCCACATGATGATAAAGAAGTAGCTATTTTTTCACCCGATATGTGCAGGTATGACACAATTATATTTTTGTAATTTTTTTTTCAACAATTGCAAGTGTTCAACAGCAGCGATGTGGTGTGCTTCTATTCATGGTTGCGCGTTTCATTTATTAGCTCATGATTTTGATTGGTCATATATGTTTGTCCGAAGAGGTTTATATTTTGAAATGAAAGCATTGGCTCCGACTTTCATGCAACTTTTATCACTTGAGCTTTGGATATATGTTGAGTTTAAATCATTATATTATCAATTAACAGATTATAAGTGTATCCAATCCAATAAGTGATTTTTTAGTTTATAGCAAATAAAAATATATTTCACTACCATCAACCTCCAGCTATTAACAAATTCTAGTCCAAATTTCCAATAAATTCTTCCCTTTGGGTAGTGCACAAATGTCTGCACGTTATAAAGAGTGACGTATTTGTTGAACGAGATCGAAGATAATACACAAATTATATCAAATGTTATCATTCGTTATTCATTTCTGTGTTAGCATTCGGTTATTTCCGTTCTTTGTCATAGAAGTAAAACATTGATGACACACAGTCTTATTAATTAAGTAAATTACGGTATCAAGTATGGGCAATAAATTCCAGAGAAGCTACAACTGGCATCATCTTCAGATGGAAAAAACTTTTTTTAGTCAAATGAAAACTTGAACCGAAAAAGCTTATTCGGTTTCGCAACTTGAATACATACTTTAATTTCACTTTTCAGCAACGTCAAATTGCATCGGAGTGGAACATTTACGTTGTATGGAATAGAGGGTAACGAATATGTAGGACAAGATGATGTATTTGACAATGGAACAAAATATGAAAGTTCCAAGTGTTACGCTTCTGGCGTGCGTACGGGGGTGCGAGGCGTCTCCACTTGCAAGTAAGTTCTTGCTAAAACTAATTGCTTCCTGGCATTAAACGTGGTAAATGTGATCTAAATCGCCATGAATTAATTTTTTACCAAGATTTAAATTATGGATCTGTTTTGAGCTAGAAGTTACACATAAACAAGTAGAAAATAAATGCCGACGTTAAATCGATAAGTTCCAGTTTCTTGACCGATATCGAATAAGAAAGTCGACCATCTTTCAAGTTAAATCGATAGATAACGATTTCGCTTTCAATCCGATTCAGCAGTTTGGCTTTCGACCAAGACACAACACAACGCTGCAGATTGCTAGGATCGTAACGGATGCTTATGTATCATTTAATAAGCTTGAAAGTACGGTAATGCTGCTTCTCGATATGGAAAGGGCCTCGATATGAAATGACACAGTTTGGCACACAGGCCTACTGTACAAATTGCTGCCGTGCATTCACTGCCACCTACCTAGTTTCTCTTACTGCGTCTTACCTAAAAAACCGTACCATCCAGGTGAAAGTGGAGAATTCCACTTCTGCCAAAAGACACATCGCGGAAGGAGTACCACAAGGTCCAGTGATTTCGCCGTTGCTGCATACATTGTATGCAACATACATTTCAAAGCTTCCTACTACAAAAATAGCACAATACGCGGATGATATGGCTATTTTACACATCGTCTTACTATGCTCATGCTGCGGAATCTCGCATTGCACATCACCTGAGTTTATTGACGCCGTATTTCGACAAATGGAAACTTAAAGTGAATCCCAGGAAGACCGAATTTATGATCTTTTTGCGCAAATTCACTAACAATAAAGTCCTATTACCACTCATGGTCGAAATTACCCCAATCAAACCAGTACAAGAAGTGAAATACCTCGTATTCGAACTAGACCCACGACTTCATTTCAATAAGCAAGTTGACTATGCTATACCAAAGACTTTCATGGTCCAAAGAAAGTAATACTCTCTTCTGGCGCTAAATTCAATTCTATCACCTCAAAACAAACTTCTGCTCTTCTCCTCCACTATAAGGCCCATACGGACTTACGGCTCCCCTATCTGGCACTCTGTCAGCGATTCCACGAGACGGTGTGTTCCAAGGGCCCAAAATAGTTCCTGAGAGGCGTCCTATCGGCTGACAGATACACCAGAATATCCGAACTGCACGAGGCTACGGGTGGCCTATATAGCTAACTATATAGTAACGGAAATGGCCTGGGGTACTCACGTATGGAATGGGGGATCGAAATCGTATTTCAGTAAATGGGAGCCCCGTTTGGGCCCCATTTACTGTCAAATATGATACTGACAAGCTATCTGGGATACCTGGAGGAAACTATATAAGCGACGACGAGAACCACACAGGGGAAGTGAAGTGACAGGAGCGACCGGATGCAGAAGAGGTTGATCCCCGCGAGTCGGAAGAGCAAGTTTTCCGTCGGTTATTGTTATTGTTTGTGAAGTTGACGGTAATTTTGAAGTTAGTTTGTTCCTGTTCCGTAGTTAAAGTGATACCGAGTGGAATAAAAGTTGGAAGCAGAAGAAAGAGTTTGATACTCGGCCATCCACGGTACATTTGGTGTCAGAAGTGGGATTTACCAGAACCCAAGTTGAATTTTGATGGAAACAAGAAGT